CATGGTGTTACTTCGTGTTTCGTGCTCTTGCTTAGTCACGTACCTCCGCGCTAACTTAATCACAAACACTGTTCCCATTTTTTTTGTACGCTACATATATTGTTGGAAAGCTCGCACTATATCTTAAGGTCGCACACTACACGCGCAAATACAAAGGAAGATGATACTTTTTCCTGGAGGCAGTGTGGGGCACAGTCACAAAAGTCATATTTTAAAGCTCTCACATTATTATTAATAGTAGTAAAATTCTGATTTATTATCAAGCGCTGATATAATAGTTTTATGTACTACTTCTACGAATATCTGCAAGCAAAAATATGATATGAAATGTCTTTAGAATAGTACTACGCAAAACAGTTTTCTTAGTTTAACTATTAAAAAAGTACTACGAAGCCTAAAAATCATTCTATATTCAATAAGTACTAAAGTTTCGATTGAGGCCGAAATAAAAGTCACCAAAGCCTACAAATATTTTCTACAGCTCCTACGACGATATAGTACGTGTGTGCTCATCTACACCTTATACCAATGCTAACTAACGCGTACAGAGGCAACGCCCTTTGCGTGGCCTTGCAGACCGCAGCTGAAAATGAGAGCAAAATAAAATTTGAACGGTGCATTTAAGTACGATGTGTTGACCACATACAGTGTGTACAAAACACAATGCCGATTGACTATCCGTTTGCCGCCGCTACGCAGCGGAGTGGCATGGCTTGTTGGAGATGCGGTGGCCGCAAATTTAAGTGCTTCTTGGTGTCGCGTACTTTATTAGCGACGTTCACCCCAGTAGCGCTTGGCTTCGTGTACTTAACCATCTACCATTCCGTAGTCTCATGTGGACCCGTATGTTATCGTTGTTTGGTACGCTTCCGTTACCTCGTACTACAGGTTGGATGTCATGTTCTACAGTGGCCGGCGCTCTTCCGTGATCTTCTTGGCTTCGTGGTTCCCTGTTCACCCGTGGCCCATGCTGCTTAGTGATTGTCCTGGATTTGTGGACTCATTCTCTCACAGTGCTGAGTGGTTGTGCGCTAGCTCCTTTGGTCTCATGCGCTCCCGTAGTACGACCCTCTTTCGTGGCTGCTAGATATTCCGTGTTCTCAAGGGTTTACGTGGATTCCACAGGCTTCGTGTCCATAATCATTCATGGTCGATAGCGTTCCATTTCTGGTACCCTCGTCAATGGGTGAACCTCCGAAGTTTTCTGTCGTCTGTGTGTCGCGCACCCCTGTGGTGGCTCCATCTACCGCGTTATCGCGCTATCGTGCAATCGCAATGTGGTTATGATGTCTATGCTATCGTGATCGCATAGTATATATGTTTTGCAAATGTTATCGCGTTCTACGATGGTTCCGTGTTCCGCGGTGTGAAATCGTGGTCTCCAGAAGCGTTTCTTTGCGATTTTGTGGCTGGTCGGCCGTCCGGGTAAACGGCCAAGGACCTTTCAGTTTGCCTTCAGCCAAATTCACAACATTGCAAACAGCTCCGGGTGCTGTGGCGAACTTACGGGTAGCTCGAGACCCGCTTACTGTGGTCTGGAACACACCTGAGGTGCTGGGCGGTCATGCACTGGAAGAGCTAACCTACGATGTGGAATACCGCACAACTCTCGGCTCGACGTGGACGCGATTGCCAGCTGAGCTGGTGGACTGCAGCAGTCGACTCGCCAACATCTCAATGACGTCGCTGAAAGGATACACCACGTACGTCACGCGCGTCAGAGCGGGTGGCTGAACGGCAAGCTGGTAGCTTCTCCCAGTCCGCAGAGTTCCTGACAGATTACACGGTTGAAGACGACTCGAACAGCGACAACGTCAAGGATTTAACCCTTGGAACACGCCAAGTGGTGATTGCTGCAGCTCGTCAGCAATGCGCTAACACACAGGACTGGTATTACGTCCAGTTGACTGGGAACGGCGGCAGTGGCGGCTCTACCAGTGGCGATGAAGCCAAACCTGGCGAGCACGGAGCTGTTCTTGTCTTTCCAGTCACGTGGTCGGGCGAAAGACCGGCGGAACATTCTTTTTTCTACACGGGAAGTGTCCAGACCTATCGAGTTCCAATTGACCAGTCTGCTCCTCATCTTGCGCATCGAATTGTTGCTCTTGATGTCTACCCCTGGGGCGCTGGGGGAGCTGGTGCGAGGTCGTCAAACGGAGCTTCAAGCGACTTGAGTAACGGCGGAGGAGGCGCCTTTGCACGTGGAGTTTTCCGTGTCAGTGCCGGTGATGCTGTGGACATTTTGGTTGGCGGTGGAGGCCTTCAAGACGGTCGGGGTGGGTTCAACGGCGGTGGAAACGGCGGCACAGGCGATTTCCCAGGCGGCGGGGGCGGTGGCGCGTCTGAAGTGCGCGTGAATGGACGAACAGCCGTCGTAGCTGCTGGAGGTGGCGGTGCGGGCTCGACGGATTACTGTTGTGCCCATGGAGGAGGCGGCGGTGGCTTGGATGAAGCAGAGTCTGGTCTTGCACCGGATGCAACAACGATCCCACTCGACTCACGTGTGACTGGACAAGCAGCTAGAGACGAATATCATTCCTCGAATGTACCGGGAGACACGAGAGACTTCGAGGGACTCCCAGCGAGACATGGACACCTCGACTGGGGCTTTGCTGCGAGTAGTGCAGACTACTCCGGTCCTAGCAACCTGGGAGGCACAGGGCGCCAACGCCAACAACGGCAGGGTGTGGGCGGGGGCCTGCAAGGTTCCTATCGCTATTCTCTTTGAAGGCACCGTGTCTGGTTGGAACCCCGCAGAACATCCTCTGGTGGGACGTCGGCCGTGTCTCCCGTTGGACAGCAATCGCAATTGGCCCTTCGAATTGTTCGAAAATGGGAAGGTGGCGGGATAGTGGACCAGGAGTTGGGCAAAACAAA